CAGAGGTACAGATTAAACGTCAAATCCACGTCTATCGGAGGTCATTGTTTTACGTCCAGACGCGCACTTTAAACAGAAGTCGTTTGGACGTGGATGTGATCTCGGATTAGTGGGCGTCGGCTGTTTACGGCTTTCAAATATAAAAGCGAGTGATTTCATTGTCTAACGGTGGTGTAGCTGGTTAGAAACTACGCTGGAGACCAGACAACGCGTGTTCGAGTCCAGGCTGCTGCGCGTCTCACTCTGCATAATTATTTTGTTTTTTAGCAAACAATTTTTCTCTGTTTAGTTAAAACGATAATCAACAATGAACATAGGATTATGTATTGGTTAACAATAAAACTTGTGAATTTATGCATTTGTTGTGCTAACAATCTCAAGTTTCCAAATAGAGGGTGAGCAGGGCAGATAGGGAGGTACGAATTGACCGTCATATCAACGTCTGGGAGGGCATTGTTTTACGTCCAGATGCGCACCTTACAAAGACGTCGTTTAGACGTGGAAAACAGATCTAGGAATAGTGAGCAAAGTTGATGCTCCTGTTGTCTGACGGTGGTGTAGTGGATTAGTGCGACCGCGGCAACGTGGGTTCGAGCCCATGTTGGTGCATCATCAACTTTATTTAATTGTTTCGTTTTTTAGCAAACAATTTTTCTTTGTTTAGTTAAAACCTAATCAACACTCAACATAGGACTATGTAGTGGTTCTATGTAGGGTCACTGTTTTACGTCCAGATGCGCACCTTAAACAGACGTCGTTTGGATGTAAATAAAAGGTCACGACCGACCGAAGCGATATAGACGTGATCTGGAGGTTGAGTGGACGTCGGATGTTTAGTGGGAGATTGTTGTTGGAGCCTGTTTGAGTAGGTTGGTTTGAGTTAGCTCGAATTATCTTCTTCCACAATAAGGCAAACTCAGCACAGTCCACTCCTTGTGACCAAAAGACTAGAACCAGTTTCGGATTTAAAGAGGTCAAGGAGCACATCAGAGAGGTCATGGATCAAAGGTGAAGGCACATCAGAGAGGTCATGGATCAAAGGTGAAGGCACATCATAGAGGTCATGGATCAAAGGTGAAGGCACATCAAAGAGGGTAAGATAAGATAAGATAAGATATGCTTTATTGATCTCACAAAGGAGAAATTTACATGTCACATCTGGCATGGATAGAGACACTCAAGATTGTGCAAAAAGAAAGAAATGTGCAAACATGTTAATGCAGGATATTATGTACAATCAAAAAGTGTTAATCGGCAATCAGAAACAGTGTCAATAGTAGTGCAGGTTTTTCAGTCTTAATACAGTGACTTAAAGTGACTTGTTGTACAGTCTGACAGCAGTGGGGATAAAGGCCCTGCGGTAGCACTCCTTCTTACACTGAGGGTGCCTCAGTCTTCACTGAAGGAGCTCCTCAGCTCCTCTACAGTCCTGTGCAGTGGGTGGGAGGTGTTGTCCATGATGGAGGTGGCTTTGACTAGCACCCTCCTGTCCCTCACATCCTCCACAGAGTCCAGGGAGCAGCCCAGAGTGGAGCTGGCTCTCCTGACCAGCTTGTTCAGTCTGCTTCTGTCCCGCTCTGTGCTGCCCGGGGCCCAGCACCCAGCTGCATAATATATGGCAGAGGCTACCACAGAGTCATAAAAAGTCCTGAGCAGGGGCCTGCTCACTCCAAAGGACCTCAGTCTCCTCAGAAGGAAGAGGCGACTTTGGCCCTTGTACAGGGCGTTGGTATTATGAGACCAGTCCAGTTTATTGTTAATGTGAACATCCAGGTACTTGAAGCTGTCCACCAGCTCAATGTCCTCCCCCTGGATGTTTAGCGGCATGTGGGAAAGTGGTTTTCTCCTGAAGTCAATGATTATCTCCTTGGTCTTACTGGTGTTCAAGCACAAGTGGTTGCACTCACACCAGTCGACAAAGTCTGTGATAACCGACCGATATTCCAGTTTGTTCCCCTCAGACACATAGCCCACAATGGCGGAGTCGTCGGAGAACTTGTGCAGGTGAAAGCTGTGTGTGTGAAGTCTGAGGTGTAGATGGTGAAGAGAAATGGTGAGAGGACAGTGCCCTGAGGGGCCCCAGTGCTGCAGACTACCACCTCAGACTCACAGCTGCGCAGCCGCACGTACTGTGGTCGGTCTGAGAGGTAGTTGATGGTCCATGCAGTGAGGCTACTGTCCACTCCCCCGTCCTCCATCTTCCCCCGCAGTAGTGCCGGTCTGATGGTGTTGAAGGCACTGGAGAAGTCAAAAAAACATGATGACGGCGTCCTCTACTCCGATGTTCAAAAGGTGAAGGATCAAATCAGAAAGGTCAGGGATCAAAGGTGAAGGAGCACATCAGAGAGGTCAGGGATCATCATCACACTGTTCAATCCATTATTCAGAAATGGGGAGTGTTCTGGACCACTACAAACTTACCAAGACACAGCCATCCACCTGAACTCACAATAACAAGAAGAGACCTGATCACAGATGCAGACAAGAGGCCCATGGTCACTCTGTGCATAGGACAAACACTCTCCACAGATCTGGGAGGGGCAGCATCAGGCTGTGGAGAAAGGAGTGCAATACTAACTCAGTGTGAGGGAGGGTGTTTTAAAAACTTGTATAAGTGGGGCTTGCAGCCATGAAATCAATGGTTGCTTCAAGGTGGAAGCTGAAGGTGTTGTCCCCTTTATTAATCCATTTCTAGGTTAATAAATCAGCTGCCACAAAAATCGCTTAGCACCGGCCCCTCGCTGATCCCTCTGCAGGTGGTGGGTCCACAGGAAGATGGCTGTTGCTTCAACAAAGATACAGCCTTGGTGTTTCAGCGGAGGCTTCAGGCAATGTGGGTTTAAGTGTCTTGCCTAGGGACACAACGACAGCAGACTTCAGTGGGAGCAGGCGACATGGTTCGTGGGGGGATCAAACCAATGCTCCACCAACTGAGCCACTGTCGCCCCCGTCTAAAATATTATAACATTGAAATTGTGTAATTATAAGAAATGGTCAAATGATTGAATCCATATTAAAGAGAGGGCCAACAGAGTAAAACAGCGTTTGCCTGAGAGTTTTCCTCTTTACTTTTTAACCTGTAGAATAATGTTGCGGTAAATACACAGATAGTGATCAGGTTCCCAGATAATTGCAGCATTTGCTCTGGAGCCGAGAGGACGCAGCGTTACTTCCTACCTGCCATCACCATTAGCTCTGACCTTTTGCCATCTGGTCAAACATTAGGCATGATAATACATTTGGACGAAGAACTGCACAATCTATTCATGCAGTTCAGGGGGGGTAGTCTCGGTGCAGCAGCTTCGAGATATAAGTGGGCCTCAGCTGGAGGACTGGGAGGCCCACGGAGCCCACCTGAGGTCGGCTCGTACCCTGACCCCTGACCCCACTGACCCTTTCCCCAGCCTCATCCTAAGCCCGGACCTGGGCCCCTCCTACGGGCCCCTGCTGGCCAGTCCAGTCGCTGCCTCTCTGGAGGCTGCTTCAGGGAAGACATTTTACAGCCTCATGGTCCAGGCCCTGAACCACCAGAGACTGTGTGACCATGCAGACACTGTGTGGAGGTCACACCTGGGCCCCGCCTTCAACCCAGCCTGGGGGCCCTGTACAAGCCCCCTCTGACCAAGAGACAGGGGGGCCTGCAGTGGAGGCTGCTGCATGGGGCAGTAGCAGTCAATGCCTTTGTGTGTCGAGTGAACAGGGCAGTAGGGGAGGACTGTCCCTTCTGTGGGGAGAGGGAGACAGTGTTCCACTGCTTCTGGGAGTGTGGGAGGCTCAGGCACATGCTGGGAGTGTGGGAGGCTCAGGCACATGCTGGGAGTGTGGGAGGCTCAGGCATATGCATGTTTTTTCTGCCTTGTTATCTTTGTAAAAACGTACGAATTGTATTGTGTGTAATGTGTTGCATTATTCATTTATTGCCAGTATTTGTACACTTTTTTAAACTGTGTTTGTTCTATATATTCTAATATGTAATATTTGATTGAGCTGTTTTAGTGGACAAATAAATCCATCCATCCATACATCCATTTTCTACCCCTTAATCCATTTCTGGGTCGGGGTTCACACAAGTCACATAGCACCTGCCCCTCACTGATCCTGCAGGTGATGAGTCCACAGGAGAATGGCTGCTCTGTAAGTGTGAGCATAGCCTTGATCTTCCAGTGGGGGCTTTGGGCAATGTCTTGCCCAAGGACACAACGACAGCAGACATCAGTGGGAGTCGGTGGAGAAGGTTGGACAAAAAAAGGTCCGTGAAAATCACAAATCTTCTCTATCCCCTCTCCCCTCTTCTCTCCCCTGGCCTCTCTATCCCTCTCCTTTTCTCCTCTTATCTATCTCCTCCTCTTGTAACACAAGACACATAAATGAGTTCAGATATTTTATTGGAGCTTGAGAGTGAAACATGCGACATCACAGTGATATTTGTGTATGTGTGACATGACAAGACAGTTAAAAAAACACACAGTGATGATTCAAAGTTACACACAAGAGCTTTATATTCAACAAGATCTCAATGTCAAGTCTGTTTGATGGTGTTTGGGTCATTTTTATTTATATAGCACAGAGTACTGTGATTCTCTCCGCACCACCACCATCACCATCTCTCATTACGCTCAGACCTGTTGTACATGTGGGAGGGGAACTGGAGCACCAGGAGGAATCCTACAGACACAGTGAGAACATGCAAACTCCACATAGGAAGACCTGGGGGTGGAATTGAACCCATGACAGTCATTCCCCTCTCCACCCCCCCACCCCCTAAAACCCCCACCCCCGCCACCTTCTCCATCCCATCCGCCTCCTCCACCTTCTTCACATTCTTCACCTCCTGAGGCTTTGGGGAAAGGAGCCAAAAAAAGATAAATATAAAGTTTGTATAAATCTCAGCAGAAAGAAAGTGAAAGTGAAAATATTTCAAAAGTAGAAAATAAAAAAGCTCCTCTCTGTGTACTTCTGAACTGTAGTACAGCAGTACTCTTGCAATACTCCTGCAGTACTCAGACATTGCACTTGTAGTAGCGGTTCACCCGCAGGATGTCGTTGTCGCTTGCAACCTTCGCAAATCCAAATATCAACCCTGGGTTTTGTTTTGAGGTCAGAGTCGCCTTCTTGTTACTGGTCCAGGCCCAACTAAGGAGGAGGAGGACACAGGTGAGGAAGAGAAGGAAGTGAAGAAGGAGGAGGTGGAGAAGGAGGAGGGGGGGACACAGATGAGGAGGAGGGGGAGAAAAACAAGGCTTTAGAAGCAGCAGTAGTACCAGTAGCAGAAGTAACAACAGGTGAAGTACTTGTACTCACTTGTGGTACTGCATGACGGAGTTGAAGTCGTAGGGCGTGTACAAGTTGTTGGTTTTGTACTTGTTGAAGTTGTGCAGTTTATCTGAGAGACAATCAGATGATTAAACTACAAATCTCCTCCCCTGACTCCTCCCCCTGTCACCTGGGTCACATGACTCACCTGATTGGATGTTCTGGACGTGCACGGTCACATGGTCGTCGCGGTCGGAGCGGGAGTGTTCGTGGGTGAAGCCGAGTGCGTGGAAAAGCTCATGTTGGACGGTTGCCGTGGTGAAACAGCCAGAAGAGAGGGAGAGGGGCTGAATCCTGAGGTTCAAAACCCTGCCGATGTACGACCAGCACCTGCAGAAACTACTGTGAGTACTAGAGTACTACAGAGTACTAGAGAACTACAGAGTGCTACAGAGTACTACACAGTACTACAGAGTACAAGAGCATTACAGATACAGGGGCTGACCCGGCCTCTGCAGTACTGGTAGTACCTGTAGTACTTGTGGTACTGACCCGGTCCCTGGGTACCTGTAGTGCTTGTATTTGTGGTACTGGGTCTCCCTCTCTGTGGGTTTCCCTAGTTCTCCCCAAGGTTTCTCACTTTTTCCCACTGGGTTTTTTAAGAGTTTTTCCTTGTCGATGCAGGAGGGTCTTGTTGGACAGTTAGTGTCCAACAGAAAGGATTGGTGATGATCAGGACACTTTAGCATTCTACAACATGTATGGACATTTTCTTCTGTGTGTGCTTTATATTCTTCATGTGTTTTAACTGTTGATTCTCTGACCTGTGTTGGTGATTTCAATGGTTTTGTTAAGTCCTCTGAGATGACTTCTGTTGTGACCTAGGGCTATACAAGAATAAATCGTATTGTAATTGTATTGTACTGACCCGGTCCCTTGGTACCTGTAGTAACTGGATTTGTGGTACTGACCCATTCCCTGGGTACCTGTAGTGCCTATATTTGTGGTACTGACCCGGGCCCTGGGTACCTGTAGTACCTATATTTGTGGTACTGACCCGGTTCCTTGGTACCTGTAGTACTTGCATTTGTGGTACTGACCCGGTCCCTTGGTACCTGTAGTAACTGTATTTGTGGTACTGACCCGGTCCCTTGGTACCTTTAGTACCTATATTTGTGGTACTGACCCGTTCCCTGGGTACCTTTAGTACCTATATTTGTGGTACTGACCCGTTCCCTGGGTAGATGGACAGATGGCTTAAATATTTCCACCACGAGACACTGTTCACATCTTTGAAGCGGATGCAGGTTTTATCCTCCAGTCCGGTCATCACAGAACGAATGAAGTTCTTCTGCTCTGAAGCTGAGGGGCAGAGGTCAGAGGTCAGGGTTGGAGGTCAGAGTTAACCTAAATTAATCTAGTTCAAGAACATCTCAGTAGTAGATCTGACCCCTGACTCACTGTAGCTGTTGCTGAGGTGGTAGAAGATGTTGACGTAGCTCCCGCTTTTGGGCCACTGGCATGACTCACAGCTGAGTGCGTTTCTGCGGCCGTCGGACTTTATGTCTCCTTCAGACATCGCAGAGGCTGAGGGAAAAAACAAAATACTGACAATACTCACTGCTACTACTGCTACTGCTACTACTACAGACTCTGCTGAGACTCACCAAGGTTCTTGTTGGCTTTGGCGATGATGTTGCTCACACTTTCTTCATCTGAAAAACAGGGACTTCATCAGTTACATCATTCTACCAGGAAGAACGGGCCACAATCACAGACACTGTTGACCCCAGAGCAGTAGAACACAACACAACACAGAGACCATACTGGGGGTTTGCCATCGCAGACAAAGGGTCATATAAGGATTGATTGATTGATTGATATAAGGATGGACCAATTAGAGGCCTTCATTTGTGGGGAAGACTCCATTTTGCCCTTACAACCGTCATTCCAACCCGCCTGTTATGGCACATCTTCCGTCATCTCCTCTTATTTGCTCTATGGCCTTTCCCCAGTCTCTGCAGAAGCCCCGCTCTCTCACCTGGCTCAGTTGGCTCTGGCTCAGTTGGCTCTGGCTCTGACGGCTCTGGGTCCAGTGTGGGGTCCATGTTTGGTGCGGCGATCTGAAGACAAGTGATTTGTAAAATTCATCTTCATCACAAGCACATATGAACCCGGTGTTCTGTATGTATCGTTCACAAACAGCTGAAACACCAGTCTCCACTCTGAGACCAAGTTTCAAAGATGAGCCACAAAAGGCTGGCTTTGCACATACACTGGATCTCTCTGGTCTCTCTCTTGTCGCTCTCTCTGGTCTGTCTCTGGTCTACCTCTGGTTTCTGATCTCTCGCTGGTATCCCTCTCTGATCTCTCTCTGGTATCCCTCTCTGGTATCCCTCTCTGGTATCCCTCTCTGGTCTCTCTCTTGTCGCTCTCTCTGGTCTCTCTGGTCTGTCTCTGGTCGCTCTCTGGTCTGTCTCTGGTCTGTCTCTGGACTCTCTCTGGTCTGTCTCTGGTCTGTCCCTGGTCTGTCTCTGGTCTCTCTCTGGTCTCTCTCTGGTCTCTCTCTGGTCTCTCTCTGGTCTCTCTGGTCTCTCTCTGGTCTCTCTCTGGACTCTGGTCTCTCTCTTCGTAACAAGAATCGCAAGTGACTCTTACCGTTGGTGACATCATCAGTGACATCAGAAGGGCGAGCAGGAGGAGGTGGAGCTTCATGGTGTCTGTTGCAGTCACCGGAGCGCTGTGGCTTGAACACCTGCAACAACCCACTGTTTTTATGCCCAAGGATGAGGGCGTGGCTACATGAGGGGGCGGAGCTACAATGGTAAGGGGGCGGGACTAAGGGGAATCAACGGGGCGCTTGATGGAAAGCCACACCCATAAGATTCAGGTCAGGTGAAATGCCAGAAATTATCCAACATATTTACGGATCAGGACTTTTTCCGGGTTTCAATAGACCTCTGACCTCTGTCTCCCTGGGGGGTCAGCCGGCAGCCACACCTCTCTGTATGTGAACTGACCAATCACCTGAGTTGAATTCTTCACAATTACAATGCAGTTGTGAGGCTCTGATTCCGGGGGTCTCTCTGTCTGTGGACCCTCTCTGAGAACGTGTAGCTGAAGGCCGCAGCCTCTCTCCCAATACACACACACAGAGACGGACACACACAGAGATGCACTCACAAACACACAGAGACATGTACACACAGAGACGCACACAGAGAGACACACACATGCACAGACAGAGACACACACAGAGACACGTTCATACTCACATACTCTCACACACACACACAGACACACATGCATACACACACAGAGACACAAACACACAGACAAACACACACCAACAGAGACACACAAGGACACACACAGAGACACACAGACATATACTCATACATACACATACTGCACATACTGTACACATGCACACAGACACACCTACACACACACACACACAGAGGCAAACACATACAGACATACACGAACACAATCACATATATAAGATGATAAACTTTATCAATCTCACAATGGAGATATGTACATTTACATGCACACACATACACACACACACACGCACAATCATACATATACACACACACACGCACCTACACACAGACGGCAGTTCAAAAAGATTTCTTAACATTATTACGTGACAGGTTCATCATGTTTAATGTAAGAATGAATGTGCTTCTGATGGGAAGACGGAACAAGTCCATTGTTACAGTAAACATGAATCACTCACTCACCTACACACACACCTACACAGCTTTGTTTAACCAGATTCCTCAACATGGATTCTTGTGACGGGAACACAGAACTTACAATTCCATTCAGACTCCATTTTTACAGTAAACCTCACTCAGACACGGAACATGTATGAGTATAAAATTCTAATATAAAGTGCTAGTTGCGCCACTGTTGGAATAAATATAGTTTTCTTAAATTGCTAGTTAAAGCTACGTCAGCTAGCAAGTAGCGTGAGTAGGACTAGACCGTTAATTGGCTCTTTGGTTGCTAGGTCGTTGTTATGTCCAAATTTGACTCCAGATTCTTGTTGGAGCCTGTTTGAGTAGGTTGGTTTGAGTTAGCTCTAATCATCTTCTTCCACAATGAAGCAAACTCAGCACAGCCCACTCCTTGTGACCAAAAGACTAGAACCAGTTAAGGATTTAAAGAGGTCAAGAAGCACATCAGAGAGGTCATGGATCATCATCACACTGTTCAATCCATTATTCAGAAATGGGGAGTGTTCTGGACCACTACAAACTTACCCAGACACAGCCGTCCACCTGAACTCACAATAACAAGGAGAGACCTGCTGATCACAGATGTAGACAAGAGGCCCATGGTCACTCTGTACATAGGACAAACTCTCTCCACAGATCTGGGAGGGGCAGCATCAGGCTGTAGAGAAAGGAGAGCAATACTAACTCTGTCAGTGTGAGGGAGGGTGTTTTAAAAACTTGTATAAAGCCTGGTTCACACAATGACGATTTTAAAATTGTCGGCCAATTTTTTCTCTGTGTGAGACCTCACACACGGAGATAAAAAATCATGGGTCTAACCACTTTGGTCGTACAGTGTAACGTACACGGCAAAATCACGCAAATCACGCAAACCACACACATCCTTGAGAAAGTTGTCTACCTACAGCTTACTAGATTTCTTATAATCAACAACTCATTTGATATGTTGATATGTTGATATGTTTGTCAAAGAAGTGGAGACAACGCGAGCATGGACTACTTGCTACATCGTGATATGGAGGTGAGTTGTTTTTTTACGGCGTTTCCTTGCCGCCTCGTCTTGTCTTCTGATTGGCTACACGCCGCAGTCATGGCAACGCGCTCGTCTGTCCCCGGGGGACACCACACACGAGGAGAAATTGGGCCAAAACAATCCAACATGTTGGATATCCCCGATATTGAGATCGGAGCCAAAATCGACCTAATTATCCTGCCGTGTGAACCAGGCTTTAGTGGGGCTTGCAGCCATCAAATCAATGGTTGCTTCAAGGTGGAAGCTGTAGGTGTTGTTCCCTTTATTAATCAATTTCTAGGTTAATAAATCAGAGCTGCCACAAAAATCGCTTAGCACCGGCCCCTCGCTGATCCCTCTGCAGGTGGTGGGTCCACAGGAAGATGGCTGTTGCTTCAACAAAGATACAGCCTTGGTGTTTCAGCGGAGGCTTCAGGCAATGTGGGTTTAAGTGTCTTGCCTAGGGACACAACGACAGCAGACTTCAGTGGGAGCAGGCGACATGGTTCGTGGGGGGATCAAACCAATGCTCCACCAACTGAGCCACTGTCGCCCCCGTCTAAAATCTTATAACATTGAAATTGTGTAATTATAAGAAATGGTCAAATGATTGAATCCATATTAAAGAGAGGGCCAACAGAGTAAAACAGCGTTTGCCTGAGAGTTTTCCTCTTTACTTTTTAACCTGTAGAATAATGTTGCGGTAAATACACAGATGGTGATCAGGTTCCCAGATAATTGCAGCATTTGCTCTGGAGCCGAGAGGACGCAGCGTTACTTCCTACCTGCCATCACCATTAGCTCTGACCTTTTGCCATCTGGTCAAACATTAGGCCTGATGATACGTTTGGACGAAGAACTGCACAATCTATTCATTCACATCACATCAATGGAGCCATGTGCTCAATCTCTCTTATTTTCAAAAGAGAGATTGAGGTAGATACATAACCTTTATTTATCCCATTGGGTGTCCTGTCCAGAAGGCATTCACGATATGTCTCTTAAAAATATTGACCAAAAACATCCAATACATATAGTTAAAAACATACAACATAAAATTATCAACAGCAACAGGTCATTCAAAATGGCACCAACATTTTTGATGGGAACAAAATTAGTTCTCGGCCAAAGTTAGTGCATGGACCACATATGACAGTGGAAATCCTCTTCTTAATATAATTTCTATAGTTCATGAATGAATAGTTCATATTAGAAAACCGTCTGTACCACGAAGTGGTTATACATACAGAAGACAGAATTACACTGAAGATTTTTAACTGGGACAGAAGTCACAGACACCCCTGGTCCAAAGAGGTGCTGCAAATATTGTCAAAAGTTTAATTCGGATACTTATTTCAAAATAATTTACAAAGCAAATTGGCAACTCTAAGGAAAATGTTAAATGATATCTATGAGGAAGAATGGAAAGTTAAAGTTTTGAAGAAAACCAAGCTCAGAACTTATGTCCAGGTTAAGAACTGTTTTTCCACAGAAATGTATTTAAAATCTAATCTGAGAAAAGGGCAGAGGTCTCTGTGTGCTCAGCTCAGAGCAGGAGTGCTGCCCCTTGAGGTTGAGGTGGGGCGTTACAAGGGGGTTCCACTGGACGGTCGACTGTGTGCTCTGTGTGAGCTGGGAGTAGTGGAGGATGAATTTAATTTTTTGTTTTACTGTCCTATGTACAATGACCTAAGAATGGTATTGTTCACAAAGATTCAATGTAAAAATCCTGATTTGTTTTGGCTTTCTGATGGTGATAGACTGTGTTGGATATTTGAAAATGATTTTTTTGCAGTGGCAAACTTTGTTGAAAAGGCCTGGACACTGAGACAAAGGACTTTATATCCAGAGAGACAGTAATATCTTTGTCCACAGGTGTGGCTATATCTTCCTTTTTGTTGATAGTGTCATATAAGCCCATCACTGTAAACCCTGACAAGTAAAGTTTACTTGAAAAAACCATGGAAATAAATTGCGTATTAACTTCACTTGAATTCCTCGAGTACATCCTTTACTTGATATTACCAAGTAACTCAAGTGAACCGGGATTCGTACTCAGAACCCTGTAGTTGAGAGGTAATGGTGCTACCCACTCAGCCACCAGGCCACCCTGCCATTATCAATTATTAATAGTCTACACGTCAAAATGTCAAAAGTGAAGCTTACTTGAACAGAAACAGTTCAAGTAAACCCTGAGTGACATAGGCAAGCTTTAAATAAACTAACAATAAATGAGTAATACTTACTGGGAAAAATCTATTTAAAATAACTTTGATATCTGAAGTACAATTGAAGTCAGGGTTTACAGTGATGAGGGCTGGGCACATACTGTATGTGTACGACACTTAAAGAAAATATTAATTCATTCATTCTACAATGTTCGGGCAAACTTCTTCTTGAAAAGCGCAACACAGGATTAAGAAATACTTCCAAAATACCAGCGTTTTGATCTAAAAGACCTTCACACAGGATGATGCCTGGGCGGAAAACGGGTCAGTGGAGAATAACACTTTACTTTAAACTTTATTGAATCTTTCTTGAAAAATTAATGATATGAACAAATTCCAGGACAATTTGTTGGAAGGGTTTTCAAGTTCTGTAATATCGGTAAGGCCTTTAAATTGATGTGCACATGCAGTTTGTGAAATGTAACTGGTTTTGGCTATTGTCTGTGTTTTTTTAAAATATAAATTAAAAAATAGCACCTTACATATTTAACTGAAAGCTAAAGTAAGTAATCATGTACCAATTCTATCTGAACCCCAGCATGTGGATTGCATCAGTAATCGTTCCTTGCTGGTGCAGGAGGGTCTATAAGGACAGTGGTGATCCAGAACGTTTAAGGCCATTTATGGATATTGAGTAGCATTGATGGGCATTAGTCATCAGTCTTCATATGGACCATCGGCTTCTATGTGTTTGTCATTTTTTTCTTGTGTTCGAACTGTTTGATTCTTTGAGGAATCTACAACTTTGTAAAGTCCTTCGAGACCA